GCACTCCTAACTTGAGGCAGTCGCACCTGCCTGGTCCAGACTCCCCTGTTGGGTATGGACGCATGGGTGCGCTTCGCCGACGACTCTCCATGCCTGACAACACCGCCGAACAACAGCAGCAGCAGCACGGCATGTCAGAGGGCGAAGGACGCGACCAGCTTGCCGGCCCATCGTGGATGCGGTCCCGTAGAGCGGATGGCACCGAAAGCCCCCTCGGCCCTGGCAGAAGAGGTCACATGCGCCGGATCACAGTTCTCGGCGGCGGAGGTGTGTCGGACGGAGACGCGATAACGACGCCCAAGAGGCCCTTCTTTGGTGGCGAGAGAGCGTCGACATGGAAGTACGTCAAGAACACTTTGAAACTTCTTAGGCAGAAGAAGGAGGACCGTTTCGATTTCGCCAAATCAGCAGAACTCATGGCCGAGCTGCGAGCCGGAGCCCCCGCCGTTCTCATGCTTGCCAGTATGATTCAGAGAGACGAACACGGCAATAAGAGAATACCGGTTCTCCTGGAGCAAGTGCGCCTACGTATTACAGACAGCCAGCCAGAATCAGAGGACGACGACAGCGAGCGCCACTGGGTGTTCACCATGGACTTGGAATACGGCAGCGGCCCGTCGCGCATGAAATGGACCATCATCAGAACGCTCAAAGACGTCTATAACCTACATGTCCGTTACAAACTGGCGATGAGCAACGATAAGTACTTGCATGGGCGCGCCGACGTGGGTGCCCGACCTAAGATGCCCAAGTTTCCATGGGGCGCCTTCCCGTACCTTCGTGCGGCCCGCAACAAGGACGACAGCGACGACGACGACGGGGCTAGCATTAGAGCTGCCAGCCTCAGAGGCGATGAGACTGGAGCTGAAGGCACTGCTGCGGAAGCAACTGCAGGAGAGGGGACTGCCAGCGAGTGGGAGGGCCGCGCAGGGCCAGGCAATAGGAAAAAGTCCCGTCTCGGCATGTTGGGTATGCGCAGGAAGTCTACCGGCCTGACTGACCCGGGCGATTCAGGAGCAGAGAACCAAATCGAATTGGCCCAGGCGCGGAAGCGCTACTTTGAGAGACAAAGACGAGTCCTCGAGAAGTACCTGCAGGACATGATCCGATGGCTCATGTTCCGTGCTGACAGCAACCGTCTTTGCAAGTTCTTGGAGCTGTCTGCGCTTGGTGTGCGCCTGGCGGCTGAAGGCAGCTACCACGGCAAAGAATGCTACCTCCACATTCAGTCATCCAAAGGAATGGACTTCCGCCGAGTCCTGACGCCAAAGAAGGTTATTGCCCGTCACAGCCGAAAGTGGTTTCTCGTGCGGTCCAGTTACATTGTCTGCGTTGAATCACCTGAGAAGATGAATGTCTACGACGTATACCTCGTGGATTCCAAGTTCCGCATTGTGTCTAAGAAGAACGGTCTGAAGCAGCTGGGCAAGGGGAAGGCCAAGGCCGAAGAGAAGGAGATCGACCTGATTGAGGAGCCTGACACGGAAAAGCACCACACTCTGACGTTACACACCGCCGAGCGGAAAGTCAAGCTATTTTCGAGGAACCAGCATATCATGAAGCAGTTTGAAGACTCTATAGCAGAGATGCTCAAGCAAACTAAGTGGCATGACATCAACCGCTTCGACAGCTTCGCCCCCATTCGCAACGGTGTCTTCGCACAGTGGCTCGTGGACGGAAGAGACTACATGTGGAACGTTTCTCGGGCAATCAGCATGGCACGCGACGTTATTTACATTCACGACTGGTGGTTGAGTCCTGAGTTGTACATGCGTCGACCTGCGGCTATCAGCCAGAAGTGGCGTTTGGATCGTCTGCTTCAGCGGAAGGCACGCGAAGGTGTCAAGGTCTTCGTCATCGTCTACCGTAACGTCGAAGCCGCCATTCCAATCGACTCAGAGTACACCAAGTACTCCCTTCTGAACCTCCACCCCAATATATTTGTCCAGCGGTCGCCCAACCAGTTCAAGAAGAATCAATTCTTCTTCGCTCATCATGAGAAGCTTGTCATCGTCGACCATGATGTAGCCTTTGTCGGCGGCATCGATCTGTGCTTCGGTCGATGGGATTGCCCGCAACATCCGATCACTGACGATAAGCCAACAGGTTTCGAGCAGAGCGAGCAGCCCAAGGATGCGGAGCATGTGCAGCTCTTCCCCGGCAAGGATTACTCGAACCCTAGAGTCCAGGATTTCTTCAAGCTTGATGAACCGTATGAGGAGATGTACGACAGAAGCAAGGTACCCAGAATGCCCTGGCATGATATTGCCATGCAGGTCGTTGGGCAGCCCGCCAGAGACTTGACCCGTCACTTCGTCCAGCGATGGAACTACGTCAAGAGAGGACGAAAGACGACCAGACCTCTGCCTTTCCTGCTTCCGCCACCCGACTCCAAGATGGCAGAGCTTGACGCTCTTGGATTGACCGGTACCTGTGAGGTCCAGATTTTGAGATCCTCAACCAACTGGTCCCTTGGCATCGAGCACACGGAATGCAGCATCCAAAACGCTTACATCAAGATGATTGAGGACTCTGATCACTTTGTCTACATTGAGAACCAGTTTTTCATCACCAGTACCGAGGCATTCAATACCAAGATCGTCAACCGCATTGGCGATGCACTGGTCGAGCGCATCATCCGAGCTCACGAGAAAGGAGAAGACTGGAAGGCGTGCATCATCATTCCTTTGATGCCAGGTTTCCAGAACACTGTCGACGAGCAGGAAGGCACCAGTGTGCGACTGATTCTCCAGTGCCAGTATCGCAGTATTTGCCGTGGTGACGGCTCCATCTTCTCACGCCTTCGCGCTGCGGGCATTGAACCAGAGGACTACATCCAATTCTACAGCTTGCGACAATGGGGCAAGATCGGCGCCAGGAACGCTTTGGTAACAGAACAGCTGTACATCCACGCCAAGTGTATCATCGTGGACGATCGCGTGGCTCTCATCGGTTCTGCAAACATCAACGAGCGCTCTATGCTGGGAAGTCGTGACTCCGAGCTTGCTGCAGTCGTCCGTGATACAGATATGATCTGGTCGACGATGGCTGGCAGGCCTTACCGCGTCGGTCGTTTTGCTCACACTCTGCGTCTCCGTCTCATGCGGGAGCATCTTGGATTGGATGTGGATGAGATACTTGAGGAAGAGAGACAGGCTGAAATGGACCGGCAGGCCGAGTACGAGGCCGAAATGGACGAGATCTATGCGGATGACGACGAGACGCCACCTGTCGCCGGACCAAGCGGGCATTCGAATGAGAAATCAGCAAAGCCTGTTCTTCCTGGACAAACTCCCAGCTTTAACCATGATGCCACCGCCGTGCCTGACGAGGCTGCAGACGAAGTATCATCGGCGTCGTCCTCCAAGGACAAGGATATTGATCCTCGGGTCATGAACAACAAGGATCATGATCTTGATATCGCTGGCTACGGAAAGGATCACTGGAAGACTGCTGAGAAGCTCGGTCTTGACCAAGGCCGTGACTCTGTCATCGTCAATGGTCGCGAAGTACTTGTCAATGGCGTCTTTTCTGAAGGCAAGGGTACTCTGGAGACTCCCATGCAGCCGCACGAGCGCAAGACCTCGGTCGAGCATCACATCGAGGAGGACAATTGTGTCAGCAACGATGCGCTGCCGCCGATTCCTGCTCTCAACCGACGCACAACCGACCAGCTTGGTCTGCCTCGCATCGCCGGACTTCCTACCTTACCCGCTGTGGATGACACTGATATTGGTGGTCCTCCAGTTCACTTCGATCAGAACGGCCAACCGACGACTGGACCTCTTCATCCCCTCGCTGCAGACATCAGGCAGGCACATATCGACAAGGACTGCATGCGTGATCCAATCAACTCGTCATTCTTCGACGATTGTTGGAACCGTGTTGCAGAAAACAACACCAAGCTGTATCGCCGAGTGTTCCGGTGCATGCCTGATTCGGAAGTACTCACCTGGCCTGACTATCAACAGGCTACACAGTACGCAGAACGTTTCAGAGAGAGCCTTGAGGGGAATACGAAGACGGAGGAAGAGCCAAATCTGGCTCGGCACCAGTCCCCCGTCACTGGCGGCGGTGCTGGAGTTGGCGCGCCAGGCCCTGCTGCTGTCGTCAAGGCCGCGGCTGAGAAGACAGGAGAGAAGCTGCCTCATCCCACTATCATTATTCCTGGAAACGACAACCACAGAGGCGGTACCGTGGAGTCGGACGAAAGAGACAAGAATGACGAGAAAGCTGCCCTTCGATCTCCAGAAGCCCCGTCACCTGTTCTTCCCGCTGGTGATGTGCCATTCCCGGCTTTCGAGGTTGGCTCCCCTGCTCCTGACGGAGGGCTGCTCGATCCTGCCCGTGACAAGAGCAGAGAACGGAAGACAACGTTCTCCCCTCTTGAAAAACCCCCGTCTAGAGACGTTAGCACCCCGGCGCAGCAAGCTCAAGGGTCGGTCAAACGCCGCCGACGAGCCACTACTAAAGGCAGTCGGCGCGGTCAGCCGCCCGAGGAGGTGCTTCCGAGAGCGGAAGCAGAAGAGTTGTTGAACCTTATCCAAGGTCACGTCGTACAGTTCCCTTACGACTGGCTGCTCACGGAAGAGCAAAACGGAAACTGGGGCTTCCAAGTCGACGGCGTTGCACCTCTACAAATTTAGTAAGTTTTCGTGGGCTATTACCCCAGAACTGTGATGCTAACGCACTTTGTAGTAACTAGTGGATGAAGCCTATTTTGGTGCCCCTCTTTGGCTAGACGTTGCGGACTATTGGCTAGACGTGCCTTACCGACGACAGAAGCAAAACTCAGGGTCCGTTACAGACGATAGAAAAAGAGACGACGGAAACGCCATTCAAGATGGAGGCACCAGGGAAACGTGTGCAAAAAACGGAGTCGGAGGGTGGACTATTGGCGTTTTGGAATCGGTTACTTTTTTTTCTCTCTTTTACCGCTTTTCCCGGCTTTGGCCTCTTGTTCTTTTACATGTATTATACACATTCTTACACTACAGACTTTATACTCTTTCGCTGACCCAAATGGCCCCTCTGCAGCCCGCGCGAATGACGCCAGTCAGCAGCCAATGCGGCTCGGCCTTCTTGGCGTCATGTTCGACAGCATGGTCGAGGTGCTCAAGTTCTTCGTCTCTGATCCTCCGCAGCGTCTTGATGAGCTCCGAAAATTCGGGGCCAACTTCATACCCCTCCGCCTCCCACTCACTGACCATCTCTAACAGAGTTCGGATCTGATTGTTGTAGTGGTCGCCAATCTCAGTCTCAACAGCCTCCGTGCAGGCCATGGCTGCCTCGCGACCCATCACAGCCGTACCCCAACCCAGACCTGTAGCCATGACCTGCCACACGGGATACAGGGCAGTCGGACGTATACGATGCTTGTGGATAAGAGAGTTGAAGGTCTTAAGATGCCCCTCCTCTTGGTCGTACATGTGCGCCATCAAGGGTCGGAGGTGAGGGTGTCGATTTACGAGTGGTGGGGTTTGGGCGGTGTAAATGAGCGTCGCTGCGAGTTCTCCAGCCTGGTTTACCCGGAGCTGTTTCGCATGTGTCAGTAATGGGTCTGAAGACGAATGAGAGATCAATGACGCACAGCTGAGGACAGAAAGTCCTTCTGCTCCTGGGTCAAGGGCTTGCGACGTGGGCGATCTTGGCTGGTTGCTTCAGCCTGCGACCTGGGCGTCGTCGAAAGCTGTCGCTGCGAAATGCACAGAGCCGGCGCATGCGCATGGTGCGCTGTTCGCCTTGCTATCCCGCTGCAGGGCCTCAAAAACGTTCGTACAGACGCCATTGTGTGGTTGTGAAATGACAATGTCAGCCCCAGCTCGGAGCATGCACTCGGCCGAAGTCCAGTCGCAAATGAAGCTGTCAATGATATCGAATGATTTAGCCCGGCGGATGCCGAGCACACTGCGAGCCATGATTGGTTGACGTCACGGCAGATCGGATGGGAAGGGGCCGATGCTCCGACGGCCCATTATTCTGTGCAGCTGTATGACATAATATTGGCCAATCAGACGCGAGCTGTAGACGACAGTGTCCCGACCTGGAAGGCAGTGAATAGGAGCCAGACTTTCAAGCTCTTCTTCCCACCTCACCAACATCGCCAATCGCCCGTTTCCGCCAGTCTGTTGCTTTCCTTCCATCGAATCCGCGCCGCTCCCACCGAATATATTGCAACATCTCAGAGCACAACAGTATCGTTACCTAGTCGCGTCGACGACCGGGTTCCGTCGCGATCTCTCGAGAAACCCTTCGAAGCCGTCGAAGTCGCCTTTATTCCCCCTAATCGAGTTCCTTCCACAACGCACAATGGCCGACATTGACGATGAGCTCTTGGCTCTTGCCGGAGGTGGAGAGTCCTCAGATGAGGAGGAAGTGATGTCAGAGGCCGAGAGCAGGGCGCCGTCCGCATCACCTCCTCCTAAGGCAGCAGCAAAGAAATCAGTGGCAAAGAAGGTGAAGAAGCGCACAGGAGGGGAGGATTCGGAAGAAGAAGGCGAGGCGTAAGTTTCTTCCACCTTGAGGATCTGGTCTGGTCACATTTGAATGGCTTTTTCACCTGCTGTCAACCACCCTCACCTCCAACCAGCCCTCCACTGCCTGTCAAACCTGGCATCTGCGCGCCATTTTTGCGCAATCTCTTTTGCTATATTATCCTCATCTCGGATTATCTCTTCATCACATCACTGACAATGCGCCTCAGATCATCCGCGATCGGCAGCCCGAACTCGATAGGGTCGGCCGCAATGGACGAGTCCGACTCCGAAGCCGAGCAGCACAGCGGCCGCGCCGGCGCCCACGACGACGACGAAGAGGATAAGTACCCCGTCGACGGAATGTTTAGGAGCGCTGCCGAGAAGGAGCAGGTGATGGCGATGCGCGAGGTTGAGAGGGAGTCACTGCTGGCAGAACGCCAGGCCGAGATTGAGCGCCACCGACAGAACCGCATGCTGCGCCAGCTCGTCGGCGAGAGGGAGAACGAGGAGAAGAAGCAGAAGCTGAAGAAGCGCAGCGCGGACGCCGCTGATCTGGAGGATGGCGCGCGTAAGACATCGCGTCCTCGCACGGATGGTAAGACGTCGGCGATAGATACGCTGCGTCGCGCCCGCGCGGAGAAGAGCGATCGTGCTCGTAGGAGGGAAGAGGATCGCCAGAGGGGCAACCAGTCTCCGCGCGACGACGATTACGGTGGCCGCGACGAGAGCGACGGCGAGGATGACTACGACGAGCGCAACCGCCGTCGTCGCAAGACGAGGTCGCCCGAGGACGAGATCGTGGCGCGCGAGTTGCCGCCGCCTGACATGCGCGACTTTGAGCGGATTCGTGTTGGCAAGAGTCGGTTTGCGGAGTATTGCTTCAATCCCGGCTTTGAGTCCGCAATGATTGGTTGCTATGTTCGCATTAGTCTGGGGCCCGACCCAAAGACTGGTGCGGACGAGTATCGCATGGCGCGCATCCAAGGTATGCTGGTCGCTTCTGATGGATGAGCCCTTTTTCTGACATTTACAGCCATCACTGTGGGCAAGCCGTACGCCATGACCGGCCCAGGTGGCTCGTTCGTGACTGACCAGTACGTCTTGGCTGCGCACGGCAAGGCGGAGAGACCATTTCCCTTCATCTTCCTGTCCGACAGGCCGTTCACAGAGGTACGTTTGCAATGGCTCGGCAAGTAATCGCACAATCTAATGGTCTTAGCGCGAGTACAACCGTTATGAGAAGGTCATCCAAGCAGATGGTCTCAACATGCCGAAGAAGCAAACACTCCTCGACAAGATCGACGACATCAACCACCTCGTCAACTACCACCTCACAACCACAGAAATCGACGAGCGCATCCAGCGCAAGTCCGCTCTCCGCAAGAAGTTCGACCCGAAGATCCGCGAGCGTCTCGCGCAGGACATCGACATTGCTCGGGCTCAGGGCAACACCAGGAAAGCGGAAGATCTTCAAGAACAGCTCGACGAACTCAAGACCAACGTTCTCGCATTCAAGACCAGCCTCAGCGACAGCCAATCCAAGCCCAGCGCGACCTCCCAGCAGGACCGCCTCGCCAACATCAACCGTCAACGCCGACTGCAGAACGCGGAAAATGTCCGCAAGGCGCAGCTCAAAGAGAAGGCCGAGGCGCGCAAGCTCGAGGCCGCGCTGGAGAGAGGCGAAGACATTAAGAACGACCTGTCGCGGCGTCTACGTACCAAGGCCAAGTTCATCCACGACGTCAAAGACGGCGTCAAGAAGCCTTCCAGCACGAACGGCAGCAACGCAAGTACCCCGGCCAACGGCACGCCTCAACTTGGAGCGCAGAAGTCAGGGTCCCTGCTGCCCCATCTGGCCAAGCTGCAGGCCGCGAACCAGGAGAAGAAGGGCATTCCCACCATTCACAAACCTCTTATGGATGACGACATCATCGGAGCTTTGGACCTCGATATCGATGTCGAGATCGACTAGATATAAAATTGGCATTGATTGGCACATCAACACATTGGGTTATTTCACGTCGGGGCCTCAGCCTATTAGAGCTATTAAAAGGGATACATCCACAAGTAAACTTATAGCACATCATTAGGCTCCTGCCTCCAGCGCAAGGAATTGTAGAATAGAGACCATACGGTTAAAAGCGGGAATCAATGAATACACATGCTTTCACACCACCGTTACTCAGACTCGATACGATGATGTACGCAATGCGATTACATACGTGACCTCCCGTAGACGGCGCTACTGCACGCCGCAGCGGAGACGGATTTAAGCAACTGGGAAGCCCGACCAGCATGTCCCGTGCCGTTGCGGCCGATTGGATCCCGCGGGGTCGCAAGCTGCTGCTGCAAAGTCCGCTCCAGCTTCCTGCAGCTTCAGCTCCTCCCAAGCTTGGTTGGCCCCACCCCACTCCCAGCAGCACGTGGGCTTCCCCGTCTTCAATTGGCACCGCATTCATCCCGAGGCTTCCAACAATCCAATCCCCACACCGCGCGGTCTTAAGCTCTGTCAATCGCCATCACCCGACGCAGGCGACTACCGCGAGCGGTACGGGCTCTTCAATTCCACCGACGACAAACGGGCGTAGGCTGCTTTATTCCTCCTGACGATGAATATCCCGATCATGGTTTGAAGGTGTCTCCTTGTGTTTCTTATTATAGATTTAATACACTACATCATACACTTATCTGTCTCCTCGTCCCCCTTCAGCGCTGGCCGTTGCGATTGTCGATTCCCCGACGGCTACAGTGCTCCCGACTCGACGATAGAAGCTATTGAGCTACGATCAGCATACCATATAAACACCATCTAGATTCACAGATACAAGCAAAAGATACATCGCCATGGTTTCAGAAACGAAACCGCTCCTCTCAGAGGGCATCCCATCTGGTACTTACACCGCCACCTACCTCTCTTTTCGTTCTGCAAGGCTAACAAACCAACCTCGTGCGCAGCCCAATTCACCCGCGCCCTGCAGCGCCCCTCCTCCTCCCCCGCGACCACGCTCCCGCAAGCGATCGCACACCGCGGCTACAAAGCCCTCTACCCCGAGAACACGCTCCTCGCCTTCCGCGCGGCGCTCGACGCCGGCGCGCACGCCCTCGAGACGGATCTGCACCTGACCAAGGACGGCGTCGTGGTGCTCTCGCACGACGGCACGCTGAAGCGGTGTTTCGGCGTCGACAAGAAGATCAACGAGTGCGAGTGGGAGTATGTTAGCTCGCTCGAGACGATACGCGAGCCGAGGCAGAGGATGCCCCGGTTAAGCGACTTGTTGGAGTTTCTGGCTGAGGGGGGGAAGGAGAGGGAGAGCGTTTGGGTTTTGCTTGATATCAAGGTGGGTTCTGACGGTGCTGTCTGAAGAGGCGGGATGATGAAGGCTGATGCGTGCTGCAGACTGATGACCCCGCGCCGGAGCTGTTGAGTTGCGTTGCGCAGGTCCTGGCATCGACGCCGGGTCCTGTGCCGTGGAACAAGAGGATCATATTCGGGTGCTGGAACGTACGTATCCTCTCAACATCCGCTGGGATCCTCATACTGACACAGTGCGCCAGCAACCGTACATCAACCACTGCACGACCTACGTGCCCACGTACTCCGTCGCCCTCATCTCCTGGTCCCCAATCTTCGCCCGCAAGTTCCTCCCTCAGGAGTTCCTCTCCTTCAACATGTTCCAAAAGTCCCTCGTCGGGCCCATGGGCAAGGCCTTCATGCGCGTGCTCAAGGCGCATGACCGCCGGCTGTTTGTGTGGACGGTTAATGAGGAGGAGTGGATGGAGTGGAGCATTGCGCAGGGCGTGGACGGCGTCATCACGGACGAGCCCGAAGCGTTCCTTGAGGTATGCAGAAGGTGGGAGGGTGAGGATGGTTCAGCAGCAGCGACGAAAGAAGGTGGATCGCGGTTGCAGCAGATTAGGAGGGAGAGGAAGGATCAGGGCTTGAAGAGGACGGTTAAGCTGTATGCTGAGATTGTCTTCATCCAGGTCCTCGTTGCGATCTTCACTCCCGTGTTGATGATTGTGGCGAGGTTTGGGGTTGTGGGACCGGGCCCGAAGGCGGCGAAGGCTTTGCGGTTGTGATATTCCGCTTGCTTCCCAAGTCGAGACGAGATATAGAGGTTTGCTATAGACGGATGGTGCTCGTGCGATAGCCATCATATCTCTGCCTTATGACGGGTATTAAACGGTCCATAGACTGGAGGACGAATAGACTCGATTGCTGAAATGGATGCTTGATGATTGGTACACGCTCACTGCCTGAATCCAAGCATCTCCGACCGATATAGGCTGCACCGCAAGTAAGCAGATTCCATGCAGCCCAGCATATTCATCGCGCTGTTCATTTTGTCTCATTGCTGTTCACTTTGTCTCATTGCCTGAGCTCTATTCCATGTCATATCTTCGGATGTGTGGCACTCTGAGAACGAATTTGCGACTCACCCTCACTGAAGCTGTCGTCAGGGCTGATCATCGCCTGCCACGGAAACTACGCGCTTTGAATTCCACGCAGCCTGGTCAGGATGTTCATCGCCACCTTTCACTAAAATTTCAACTGATGCTGAGGCATGGTAATTAGGACCAGTCATCCAATTTACATCCAAAGCGGAAGCCATAAACAGTGACAGTCGAGAATCACCACGAGCTGGACTGTTTATGCCTCGAGAGACAAAATTGACGACGTGTCACCTGCCAGGCTACTTTTCTGGCATGCCCTGTCTGTGGAGAAGTACACGCCCAGTGGTTTAAACCTACCCATAACACCATAGTATACCATCCATACCCATCGACCTTCCAGCAATCACGTTTCCCCCGTTATCGGAGGAGCCTTAAAGACTTCTGCATGAGAAAAGGAGGGAGCCGGCCGTCTTGGAACGCGAGCGGACTATCGCAGGACGTCACCTCGCGGTCCTAACGCTGTCCCAAAACCCCGACGAGGTCCTTCGCCAGCCGACGCTGCGCAGGGTAGTGCTGGGTCAAGCCGCTGACCCCTTTGATGAGGAAGCCTTTGTGAAACTCATCACCAACGGCGCGTGTAGTTCCTATACCCACCTGGTCGCAGCCGTCATAAAGCCCGACGATGGCCGCCTGCCCCCTCTGTTGGATGTTTTCAAATTAATCATCTGCGACGCTTGCTGCCCTGAGGAGCGCAACGCTGCAAGATATATACGACGCACGGTTACGGGAGGAAGAGCTCCAAACGCCAGTCGCGCTCGCGAAGGAGATAGTTCGTAGCGAAGACCAAAAGGCAGCCCAAAGAAACGCCAGATTGATCATCCAACAGCTCGTATATCACCAGAGGAGCTTGCTCAAATGGATAGAGACGAGGGTAATGCTATCAACACAATCTAGAAGCGGGTCTTCCACCCGCCTCCTGCTTGGGTTCGTCATATCGCCGATGCTCAGCAACCTTGGGGCTTCGTCTTTTACAGAAGCAAGGAGGTCGAGCGGAAACACGGCTACATCTGAGTTGAAACATGGGATGCAATCCGAGAGAACTCACGCCAAACCCCGCATCCTGTCCAGGAAGAACGTTCTCGTGGATACGCACCGTTGCATTCTATTCATTGTGCCGAGGAAGAATCTACTTCGAGACGTCTATGGACGAGTACTCGGGCCACTGGGCTCATATCTGAAGACTTGCCTGAAGACGACGCTCTGCGACGGTGGGTCCTTTGTCTTGATCTTTTTCTCATCACGTCTTACGTCGGATTGGTAGTTCTTCTGATGATTTTGCAGACATTTCCAAGACTTCAGAGAGTCGCTATCATCCCCTTTCATCTTGCGAAACACCTTCATGGTGATCGACGACGAATGCATCCCTGAGGACCTTTGGAGATGCCCTGGCGGACCGTCTGCTGAGACTTTCTGGGTTTGGGCATATGATGCTGGCTGGAAGCCTGCCGTAGCAGATACCATTGGATCTGATGGAGAGGAGTACCGAGGTCACGTCAAAGTGCCAATCTGCTGCCTGGATGCTTGGTTCTATGCTGCGCGTTACGAGGGTGTCAGTCTGAGGGACATGTCGCTCCAGGCGCAGACCCATCGCTCAAAGTGGTGGATCCGCTGCTCCAACCCGATGGAAAACTGGGATCATGAGTCTTATATCTGAGCTCATTCATGGTAGCATTCCGAAGTATCATTGAAATCAACGGTTCAATTGTCTTTTAAAGCTAGTGTCCTGGGCGGTATCGATGCTGAATGGTTACTGAGGCGGATGACCGGTCAATATACCCCACTTGCAGCCTCTTCTTTCACGGGAAATAACAAGACGTCGACATTGATGGGTGTAGATTCTGAACTCGTTTTCTGTTATTCGTATATTCTCCGGCATAATTCCTCGCCGGTATCGAAGCTTGTGTCCTTGACTCTACTGAACGCAAGCTCCTGAGTGATCAAGGGGCCGAAGTCGAAAACCGATTGTTAGTCTATAGGATTTGGGCCTTTTCACAGCATTACAAACCTCTCCCGAGGCATTCGTCTCGAGCACTAGGCCTTTTGTAACGGTATGGCCTCAATGAGCGCGGCTGAGAATCCCTCGGCAAACACAGAACCTCCGTCAGGCTGGAGGCCGCTGGCCAAAAACTCAGTACGAGCTTGCTCATGCATGATTCCCAGCTCCGTAGTCGCAGCATCATATTTACTCCAAGGCACAATTCTGTAGATATACGGAAACACCATGTGTCTTATACACCCTGCCAAATTGCTATTGAATTACAAACGCTCGCCTCGCCCAAAGTCCAACACAGCTTTCATTCATAAAGGACTCCTCTCCGGCATGACGTGGGTCCCAAATAGCGCTGACGGGTCACATGCGATGCGGCCATCTTCGATGTTGTATCTTATTGGCCAGGTCTAAAGCGAGGTCCTTTTCCTACATCACGGCCTGGCGCGCTCTCGGTCTACGAACCAACGTTCAACCACGGTTTGCATCCGACCAACCAAGATGCAGGCTGCAATGGCACTCTCGTCGAGGGTGGTGGATTGAAAGGCAACCTGCGTTCCAATGACTAAGAGTGAGGTGATCATGCGCTGTAGTTCGGTACATTTTCAACCTACCCAGAGGTCTCCGCAGGCAGCCTCGTCTTCATACTCCTCATGCGGCTCAGCAGCAACCTCTGTCCTACATTACCACACAGTGCCTGCTAATTCCAGTACTGCTCTTTTCGCTCGAACTTCGGACCGTTTTTGATCTCTTTTTCTGCAACCGAAGATCTCTACAACATGTCGGAACAAAGAACAACAAAGCTTTCAGAGGCTATAGAGGAGGCAGCTGAGAACGGAAAGAGACGTCTTTCCTACTTCTCCTTCGGAGATGACGGTCTCACTGCGACCGTCGGTGCAAGTGGAAGCTTACTACGAATCACTCAACATTTTCCTGGGGAGAGGACAGGCTTTTGTGTAGATGTTCCAGGTCTTCCGGACCCTTCCTATGTTGAAGATCGTCTGAAGAGCTTTCTACGGAGCAGCAGACTGATACGTCCTCGGCATGTCATTGGCCCAAACATCGATTCACTTTGTCGACGAGGATCATCTCGCCTAAACGCTAATGACGGCATGACCAACGATCGATGGCCGACGTTCGACCGAGAGTTGCTGAATGGTGATGACCTTACGCTTCAATACGTAGCATCCGAGGGTACTATCTATCAGATTTTTGAAATAAGCGGTGGAGACGACAAGCTGCCACCTCTGAAAGTCACGCCTGACCTGCTGATTCGAGATCTTGACTTCGTGGATGAGGACAATCAGTTCAACAAAGCCGAGGCAGGTAACAAAATGGTTTACTACCATGAATCGCGGGGGAACTGTCTCATTCGGGTGCATGAAAACTCTCACAAGAAGGCCATTCTCTACATTCAGGCACTGAATGAGGAAATGTCTCTGGAGTTTGTCAGGGATGAGTCAAGATCTCCGACATTGGAAACCCCTCTCGGGAGATTTGTCAACACCAAGCCCTACTTTCGACAATCTGACAAACAGAGACCCACCGAAGAAAGGCCTGCCTCTGAGGAGGTTACCACTAAGAATTCAGTCGCTCGCAAGCTGGGTGCTTCTTGGTCTTCTTATCGAGTTCATAGAAAGTCGGCACCCAAACTTGAGTATGACTTACGGCAAGAGCACGCAAAAGACATAATAATCATATCATATACACTTGGATATGTCCCAAAACACGAGGAACCAGCCATCCCTTCGATGTCGTGGAGGAGCGTTCTGGAAACCAAGGATCAGCTGCTCATGCCTTGGAAACCACATAACATATCCAAAGATCAGACAGTTGACTTCTTTCTGAAGAGAAACCTTGAGCACATCTTGTCTGTCTGTAGCATCCCTGTGCGGCGTACTAGAGGCGAGTGGAGGCCTGCTGTTGCGCTCACATGTGGCGATGTGGACAGTCACCGAGTCGCTACAGGAGCAAGTTTGTAAGTTCGACGACACTCATAATATCTGGCCTTACGACAATGGCTAACAGAAAAACCTGATGTTCACAGTCACGCATTCCAGATTTTATTGTTGGCCCTTGGGCATTTCACATCGCAACATTCCAAGCCTCAGCCCGAAGATTGGGCTTGCGAGTGCGGCAAAAAGTCAACAAAATCGTACATCTGCTTGATGAAACAGCGCATTCTCCGAGTCTGCTTGGGTCACTTGAAGTGGCTTCTTCAAAGAGCCAATAAATCCGGCAAGCCTTTCTGCCCTCACTACTGGGTTGATGGTAGTGAGATCGAAGGATGGAAACGGATGGACTTCCTGGTAGGGAAATCCCTCGTCGATACTCCTCTCCAATTAATAAAGATTGGAGACTTGTCCAGTCACTCTATCCTGAGTGTCGCTCAAGTCAGAGAAGTACGCAGAATTGCGAGCAACTGGATCATGGAACTTGAAAGGGTCGACAAAAGGAAGGCTGGCGCCTTTCCCCGATACGACAAGGAGGCAACGCGTAGTTTCTATCTTACCGACCACGCATTGATTTGGAAAGCAATCAAATCCGTCGAAATGATAGTAGCTCGGCCTTGGACGATGACAGATTACTCCTCGAAGTGTGTCCAGCAAAACATACTCAAGCGATTCACTACCCAAAACCCTGCTTCGAAGAGGGAGACCATCGCGGTAGTACGAAGTCCTCTCTACACGCGTTTTCTACTTCAATCGAAGGATTCTGAAATTTTCAGTGCGATGGAAATGGGATTGTTTGATAAGCAAGGGACCGAAGACAGTGTTGAGAGTGGGCAAAGTGTAGACGTATGGCATGGCAAGATCGACGCATGGAAGAACACCATCGACTGCCAAAGACATCACGAGGACAATGACGACACAACTTGGAACGACCCACAGAGGTTCGCTTTGTCGATAATTTTGTGCCAACGCCTGAGAAAGGCCATCAATCAACGATCGCCTCAAGAAATGCTCGAGCAAGCTTTTTCGACACTTTTTAGCAGTTGTTCAGCCAACGGGCTTTTCCCGGGAAAGCTAGACGACAACCATAAGCCAACTCTATACGACTCTGAGCTTACGCGGGATGTTTACTGGGAAAACACATTCGAGATACCCCATGTTCTTTGGAGGTATTGCCGTGACTTAACCGACGGATCTGAATCCACTGGACAGCCGGAATCCAGCTTATCACCTAGCACACCGTTGACAAATGATGATGAATTCTGTCAGTCGCACACCACAAATCAAATCATTAGACTTCTACAGAGTCTTTCGACTGAAGATTCAGGATTCAAGAAGCCGGAATCCCCTCCCTGCTTCTCGATGAAAAAAGCTTTCCCGTTCAATAATATGACAGACACAAAGAACATTGTGGAGCTTCAAGACGAGTGGCTTTATAACTTGCCAGCCTTTTTTATACCGGCCAAAAAGGGATGTGAGAAGAGAGAGGACACAGACACCAGCAGCATCGCTTCGGAAAACAACTCAGCATATGCCGCATCGCTGTCGACTGGTACTGGGAAAGCTTCAGCCAACCGGGTGCTTGTCGGGTTTAAGATTGACATCTTATCCAAATCTGCGCAAAACAGAAGTTCTGAAAATGACTCCGAGGAAAAGATCAAAACGCATGCGGATGTTGCAAGAATTATGGCGAGAGGGAGGACCCAAGATGTCAAAAAACGACTCTGGCTATTTGCGTCAACAAATCCACTCGGTAACAGAATTTGTGCGTCAACTGTGTCAAAAACAGAGAGGAAAGAAAAAAAGGCGATCGAGACTTTTTTGAAGAACCATGAATCTTTCGACAATTATTTCTGGGAGGATACGGTGGCGGAACTCAACACTTGGGAAACGGAGCTGCAGCTTTCCTACTACACGCTGCGCTCCAATAACGACGAAGATCGGGAACAGAGAAATAACCTGCATAAAAGAGACGACATCGTATTTCCTGCTCTGTCAGACGATGGATATCAAATTCGTATCGCCAAAGCGGTGGCCGGTTTTCGGTTCGAGGGCGACTTTTTCGACCGCTACTGGACATGTCGGTTTTTGATTTCTGACCCAAATTATAAGTATAATTGGGGCATAAAATCTGACGGTCAACGTGAAATCTACGAAAATGATGACGAGGACGCGATGAGCTTATCGATGAGCTTGCATTCTATATCGTCTTGTGGGTGTTCCGATGAAACCGATGCGTCTAGCGAGGACGACGAGGACAATGAATATGACACATTCGCTGGGATATCACACAGATCATCAACGGAAAAACAGCGCAGGATCCTGGAGCTAGTTCATTCTTCTTGGATGATCAGAACCATGAACAATACTGCACGGGAGGTTCTGAATGTGATGAAAGAACATTTAGAGAAGGGGAAAGGCAACATGCGTAAGTCGTTCGCTGCCACCCAAGAATATCGACTCGAAGAAGCCGAGGTTCAGAAGTTGGATTTCAAAGGCTTCTTGGTCGCAAGCAGGCGTTTCCAGGAATTTCAATTTGAATTGCAAAAAGTTGAGGCGCAATTTTCCGAGAATCTGGCAACTATCGATCTTTGGCTGGGTCGAGAGAAAAGCCGCCAGGCCGAAAGACCGCGATGGTCATTTAATGATGAAAGTCGTTACAGAGCCGAAATTCAGAAATTCGTAGCCCTAAACGATCGGTCCATTCGGGAATTTAGGAGTTACCACCAAAGGATTTCAGCATTGATCGAGGCAACTACGAAAGATCTCGAGATCATGCACAGTTGGCTGGACATCTTACGTAACGACCTAGAACTCCGACGCGGAGAGGACATCAAGCGCTTCACGTACGTCACCGTCGTGTTTCTGCCACTGGGTTTCGCAACTGGTATCTTCAGCACGAGCGGAGCACCTGCTGGACCAACATTGATCAACATGACTTTGACCGCCATCACAACCTTGACAATCACTGTGCTGGCATTGGTGGTGTACAAATTCGCAGATTCGCCTCGATCTAGGGAAGAATTGATGAGAAGATGGGTGTCATTCAGAGCAAGAGGGCTAAAGTTGATGATAATGAGAATAATAGTGGTTATGTTGTTTAACCGGTTGAAGAGCCTATTCTCGAAAGAGGCTAACAAGAGAGCGGATGATAGCCCAGAAAAAGAGGCAGATGGAGGCCGTGAAGACCAGGACAGGGAACTTTCAGAAAGATCCGAGGATGAAGATTCACAGGTACAGATGGATCGAAGTGAAGAGGGAGCAAGTGATCGAACTTCGGAAGTTCAAAGAGGTGGTGCTGTGAATGGACAGGATAAATGGAGATGGAATGCGATACTAAGGAGTTTCAGGATAAGGGGTACTGGAAGTCTAGATGAGAGGTTCCGGGAGGATGTTGAGAGACGTGCCTCTAGCGATGCGGTCACTATTAGCAATTTTGAAGGAACCAGCTTAACATCGCGGCGGACCAGCTCGACTAGTTCAAGTAGACAAACGTCGGGATAGGAGAGTAGTTTTCTTACATTTTTGACGAAGTACAGGCTAGGATAGTGTTTAGTAGCGACTTTAAACCAAGGCAACCGACACATTTGAGTCTACACCCCGGAGACGCTGTAGATGAATTTAACATTGACATACGGCATGCGATCCTCTTCAACTGAGTTCCCTCGTGACTTTCTTTCACTCAGCAGAGACCTAGCGTCATTCCGACTGAGTTCCTGGGGGGGAAATTCCCATTATGCCTCCCCACCAGGGAGAAATTCTTACACATCTAACCCAAAGTTGTGTGAACGTCGTGTGGGAAGGAGCAAGCAAGTGTGAACATATATATACATCTCTGTGTGTTTGGTGGTTGCCTGTCAACTTCTGAGGGATATCAGGCTCACACTGGTTGTCATTAAGTAGCTTGAGGGTTAAATGAAGCCAGGAGGGTAGAGGAGGAGGACAGCCCCAGCCTATGTTTCATTTCATTCCATCTCGTCTGTGAGGTGCGACTCAACTGACGAGTACAACACCTCACAGACGAGTACACCAGTGTCAGCGTAAGCAATGGGGCATGTAAACATCGGCTCTAGCTGAGTTCTATACAAGGTGAGATGCAAGCGACGGAGCCGGCTTCCGGTGATTGGAGGTTTCCGTGTCCAATTGCTGCAGCCTGCGTACTATGAGCCTAGAGCCATGGTTTGTAGCTCATTTTTTAGTATCTTTGCATTTTCAACCCCACCCGGAGGTCATCCTCAGGTCTGTGAAATCTTTTCGACTGTCCCACCAGCGCCTGACGACTTTTGTGAACGAGGCTATGTAAAAGGTGCTGAGGTACAGAGCAATCAACCTTATCTGTAACTGTTGCTTCGTTAATACATTTACAATTCTCTGTCGAGGGCATCTTTGAGCCTTAAGACACAACAACTAGGTACTTCGTTACACCTTTAACCGCAATTCCTTCCAGTATCTCGTATCTCGTAACAGGTCACGATACCCTTTGATTACCCAAGGCTACTAAGCAGCAAAAGCTTCAGTGACCTCCCATGCTGGTTGATCCTACGGGTCTCCCCACGCGAGCGATCCGCCTCGTACCTGAGCGACAGACTGCAATCCTCTCATGTCGCGGCATGGGTCTGTCTTGTCATATAGTCCCTCATCGTGACTCAGTATGTTATCTCGTGCGTTGGGAAATGGCAAGATATCAATCCATGGATGATGACTAAGTATCACCTGAAGCTGAGTTGATTTGAGGCTCTCGGGCATCATGTCGTACGCCGCATGTGAAATACTTCCATCAGCAAGCCGTCACCGAGAACCTGGTGCCATAAACTCATTTGTGACACCCATCGCCATTACACTCGTTACTCTTGCTGGCGTTGTGTTGAACTTGACGAGACTGGGCAGCATATCCATTGACGGTGCCACGAGGTTGGAATTTGCAACAACTTCAGTGCTGAACTGGGAGATAAAAGTCTCGCTGCGTTCACTATCAGGCTCATAGGCTGTGAAAGAAGGCAGAGTGAAAGGTCCCATCTCCCTTGTCGGGTCTCTCATATTACTAGAGGAATAATCGCAACTTATATGTATATCGCCGACAGGGCCAGAAGGATGCTTTTCCATGGCAGTCAAACTGGGTGGCGTATGATGGGCTCTCTTCGATGTCCGGCCTTGTTCTCATTCATAGGCCTAGTTTCCAATAGTCAGATATTAGCACAGCCATATAGAGTGAACTCAGAAGATGAACCAACGTCTGGTTCCTTGATGGACGCGGTCCTGCCTTTTGTTTCTTTCCTTCGAGTCAGTGGTTCCAGTTCAATCACTCCCTGACCCTGCGTCAACACTAATCACTCCTTACTCAGAGGCTTAAAGAGATACTTTTCGAGGGCTGACGGTTGAGCCCTGGGATGCACGTCGCGATGATGGAAGAAATAGGGAATTGGCGCCGCGGACGAGGAAAGGAGGGGTACTGGACCGTATCCCTGGGACGAAGTCGAGAAAGAGAAGGATGTGCAGTATCGAGGGCAATATCATAAAAAGCCTTGCGTCAGTTGGAAAACTAGGACAGGGACTCCAGGTGGTTTTTAGCAGTCTTACAGAAGTAAGAAGTGTAAGCGCCCTTTCACATTTCAAGCTTGTGCCTCGGATTGGGCTCCAAAGATCCTTGGATCATCGCGACATTAATCGAATGAGAGTGGATATGTCCGAGGTCTATCAGCATTGAATTATCTACAGAAAGCCTTCTGAAGCCACACAGTGTCTCGTTGTCCCTAAACTAACGGCACGACACTAAAACGTCCAGTCACTTAGAGTGGCTGTTGTCATATTGGGGCTTTTACCTCACTGCGTTCTGAACTCTCCCAGAGATTCCATTCGTTTGAAGTTCCTCTCCAAGGCTGCTACTGCGCCTAGCATCCGCCTGCCTATCACGCTGTTTATTCTGTCAGTGGACTCGTCAGTGGACCGATTTCTAGTGGCTCAATCCACAATTCACTGCATTTTAAACCCAGCCCGAGGCCATCCTTGAGCACCTTGAAATTGACCAATTGTGTCAACCACCCATGATGACTTGAAGTAAGCCCGGGGATTGTCACAGAAGTCCACCAATCCCGTTCTGAATCCGTCATTCGAAATAGACTACCCGCCTGGTTAGCGTGATCATACAGACATCGGATCTCAGAGGTTTCCTATCTGGAGTCGAGCAGGATGGTTGTCAAACAGGCTTTTGGCAGAGCGTACCGCGCCCTCACTCGAGGCTATGGAGTAATGCGTTGAACCCATGGAAGGACGATACCAATAAAAGACAAATAACCATGTCACGCATGTGTAGAGGAGGAGGCTCGATCTCACAATCATGAAAACATAGATTCTCATCCGCTATCCTAAGTAGACCCATATCCCACCTATTTGTCCAAAGCCAACCCATCAAAAAATCAACCTCACGCCGTTGACTAAATGTTTACATTCAAAAGGTCGTCATCGCTTTCATGTTTCGGCAAGCCTTCTCAGATCATAGCCCATAGTTCACATCTAATCCTTCAAATAGTCCGTCGTTATTCCCTGAACATGACGCCAATAGCGCGTTGCGGTACTCTAAGCTGCTGACGCTCATGTTCAGATCGCTCGCCAGATCCTCGCCCGAACTCAAGCTCTCTTCACTGACGCTCAGCACACTTTGCGGCGGGGCAGGGTTGGTTCCGAAGTCGCCAATGTTGAAGCTCGCCAGGTCCCAAGAGTCTGGCGACCAGCTGTCCAGGTTCGTGGACGCGGGGGTTGTTTCGCTCATCGGTGGCATACCGGCACCACCGCCGTAGATGGCGTCGTACACGTTATTCAGCCCTCCATCCATGGAACCCAGCAACGCTTCCCACTCAGTCGTCGATACACCAGCGATCTTTTGCGGGGGTTGTTGCGAGTTGTACAGAGTCTGGTGAGCCGCTGCCAACAGGTGCTGCTGAAGGCGCGCTGATGTTGGCGATGGCGGGGAAGAACCGTTGGGCGTACTGCTGAGGGAGAGATAGTCAAGATTCTGCTTTCCACTCATTCTGACGCGGTTGGCAATCTGCGACATCGAAAGCCGATGTTGCTCTCGGCGGGCGGCGGAGACGTCGTGCTGTTGTTGCTGGGGCAGGTTGTCAAAAGATGGTCGCGAGCGAGAGCGGTATAGTTCCGGGCGGTTGTGGATGCTGGGCATTGTCATGCGACGCATCTTTTCTTGTTGCTGGATGAGATCGCTCTCACTAGCGGCCGCGCTGGGGAGGCGGCCAAGGGTTTGCTGTGGAGACTTCTTCCTGTTCCCTGCCGCGGGAGGTGAGGATCTTTGCGGCGCAGGCATGGAAGCCTCGGAAGTTTGTTGAGATGAAGCGGAGAAGGGCTCATCCAACCTCACGAGCATGCCAGCGACGCGCTTCAGGTCGAAAGAGCCTGGTGCCTTGGCTTTTGTGAGGATCTTCATGACGCCGTTAACGAGGCGCTCGACATCCTTCATCATCTTGCTATCCTGCTTCAACTCGAAGCTCTGGTAGAGCAGGGTCATGCCGCACAACATAAGTGTGTCTGTCTTGTTGAGGCAGAACGAGAAGGTCATGTTGCGCTCCTCCAGAAGCTGCACGATCTGGACAATGTGCTTGCTTGACTCGCCGATGGACAGGAGCGCAGGCGCAGCCTTGTGACCGAGCGAGGAACCGACGGCCGGGCGGTAGATAAGAGTGCGCGTGTAGTAGTAAGCGAGGGCAAGAAGAGGCGATCGACTTCCGGTGACATCGGTTGAAGGCTTGTCCTGGACGAAGTTGAGCTTGAGGTGTGCGGGCAGCGACGCGCACCATTCATCGAGCTCGGCCTCCATGGCGGACATTTGCTGCAGTGACAGCTCATGAGATGTCGCTGCAGGGTAATTCTTCTCCATAACCTTTGCAAGAATGCGGCAGCAGCGGAACAGAGCGAGCGCGCTGGACAGGCGAGTGTACTCTCCGGGCAAAGTTGGTTGGAAACCCTTCTCAGTGACGTACTCATCGTCCGTGTCTGACGGGTATTCGGCGTGAATGTCGTCTTCCTTGAGCAATTTTGGCAGGCCAAGAATAGCGCCAGAAAAGCTGCGGTTGTCAGTGGAGGTAACACAGAAAGAATAAAGGACGAGGATACTCACCAGTCAAGAGTATAGAGGGTCCAGAAGACCTTCTTGCGCGTCTCAATAGTGAGGGCGCCAAATGAGAAGCGCTTCTGGCTCTGATGCAGACCGAGGCGGTGCGACAGACCCACGGCAATGCCCTTGTAGTGCTGCAGGCGCTTGTAATCCGCTCTGACGATACAGTACAAGAGGGCCAACTCGAGACATTGAAGGGTCACCATAGTGTTCTCCATGAGAACGGCCTCAACAGCACGCTGCCATTGTTGCTCGCAGACAGCGATCTGGTCGTAGTCAGGCTGGTCGCTTCCGAGAGCCGCAATGCCGAAGACAAGGTACAGCTGCGCAATCTTGTGGTTGTTCTTGACCTTTTCCGGGTCTGACACAAACTCCTCGTAAATGTGCAGGAAGGTTGGCTTGTGCAACACGGGGAACAACGGTGCCCATTCCTGGAAGTAGACGTTGACGCAGCGGTCCGAGAATAGGCGTGGCGGGACTCTCAGAGCTTGGTCTGGCGACTTTGGCGTCAGAGGATGGCATCCTTGAATGTGGAGGAAAGCCTCGGGGTTGAAATCTGTGCACGATTTCCCATTTTCTTGCATCTTGCGCTTGAAGGCCTCTGTTTTCTCATGTTAGCATTGACGGCACTTTCGCTTGGACGCTTCGGATCGATGCGGGGGTTACGGACCGATGAAGGCACGGCCGCTGGACGGGCCCATGAAGTACGAGTCGGAGTTCTCGACGCCTAAAAGCAACGGCGACGCCTGGACGCGGAAAGTATCCTCCTTCGGCGGTGACGCCGATTTTTCCCTCACGTCCGTGGCCGAACCGGCCGGCGAATGTGCCGACGCGGCGGCCGCGGACGGACTGCGGTGGCTACTGTGGTTTCCGTGCATTCGCGAAAGCATGTCAATCTTCTCGTCCTTCTCGTCCAACAGATCTTTCAATTCCCTGACTTCAAGCTCGAGCTGGCGCACGCGCTCCTCGAGCGACTCGGTGTAGCCTCTGGGAAACGCGCGACGGCTAAGTTTATCGCTCGTGCGGCACTCGAAGCCGACGTTGGCGCATTGAGAGCATGTTGGCCGGATACCGTCGCAGCGAATTTTCTTGCTTCGACACCGGTCGCAGGCCTGGGCTATGCGGCTCTGAGAGCTGGTGCCCACCTTGATCACCTTCATAGGCAAAATTCCGGGCATGTTGGCGGGCGGTTGTCCTCCTCTTTTTCTTTCAAATTCACTTTGGTTGGGGTCCAAGGGATGCGATGCGTTATGTGTGGTGTCGGTAGCGTTTTACGTGTAGCCCGGAGGCTTCGGCGATTTCCCGTTCTCGATCGGTCGTGGACACGTTCAGATTCGGCGCGAGGCGTGAAGCGGTTCAACCATTCCCATACAATCAGATTTCCAGGTGGGCGTAGAACAAAAGTCGGTCGTCAATTTCGTGGTCGATTGTGCGTTTGCGATGGCAGATAAGACGGTGGTATCTTTTTTAGTCACGGAAAGGGCCACAGGTGAAAAGCAGGTCCGCGAGAACAACCCAGATCTTCCAAGCAAGAAACAAAAAAGGAAAAGAGTGGAGAGGGTCACAAGTCTGGTACTCGGAAGCAACGGACAGAGGCAAGTGGAGGAACTGGAGATGTTGAGGAAAGGAAGGACGGATGTTGGGGTGTGTGAGGGAAAAAGAGGGAGAAGAAGTGGAAGTCGACAGTGGGAGGGACGTGAGACTGTGGAGTCCCTAAAAGAGACCCCGTGGCCGGGAGGTGGACGGGAGAGAGACCGCTGGATGGAGTGACCGGGGTGAGGGCTGGAAACTTAGAAACAGCGACTCATTCCTCATTGGAATGAAAATGGTGAATGCCTGTACCGGGATTGGGAACGGAACGGACTGGGGTGGGAGGGCACTTGGGGGCCACCACCGGACCGGCCTAGCAATTGCCTTGTCCTTGACTGGCGCTGGACTGGGAGAAGAAAGGGCAGGAGCGACCCGCTGGAAGTGAATCTGGGGGAACCAGCCCTGGGGTCCTGCTGGTTGCTGCTGTTGGGAAACTCGGGGTGGGAAGGGACGACACGCTAAGCATGGTGAGGGGAGCCAATCACGTCGAGGTAATTGTACTCGAGAAGGCGCCTAGAACCCACAGTACATCGCCCGGTCTGCCGTCGACCTCCAGGCTGCGTTGCGCTAGTTCGACCTTAGCGAGCATGCACCGGAGGACACCACCGGGGACTTCGCATTCACACTGGACTGGACGTACAGACAGACGTACAGAAGCAGCAGGACAGCAGCACATCAGCAGCAGCAGAGAGTATCACCACCACACCACTTCCGCCACGATCCAAATGCCCTTCACTCCACCTCCCAACTGCAGGTTGCTGCACCACCTCGCGAGTCACATCGTACCTTGCACCTACTTCTGCTCCTCTTCCCCTCGTCTAACGGACAACCTTAGACACTAGACAACACGCAAGAGATACGCGGGCTTCTTCACGCATGGCTTCTAGACAACAACCCCCAAACCTCCAAGCCAACCAGCCTGCTACCCTGGCCCAACCCACGACGCTAAACGCAAAAAACCCATCCAGCAAACGCAGCCATGACACCACTCGACCCCGGAAGCGGGGAATTATCTGCCAATTTCACCCTCCTTCTCCAGACCTTCCGGCTCTCTCCAGCTCTCCAGACCCTTCTCGATACTCGGGACGACTTCTCAGAGGCTCTAGGCCCTCGAAAATGGCTCCACCCCCAGAATCACTTTGATGCTGTTGTTTCCATCAACCGGCCCAGAGCCAGTCATGCGGCCCTGCGTCAATTCAACCAACCCACCCACACCTCCAGAACCCCCGTTTTCCCCAGGTTTTCGCCGTTCAAGGCAAAGTTTCGGCAACAAAGAAATAGGCACAAAAGCAAACGGAAGCCTGCAGCGAACCCTCAAATCTTCGGCAAGAATAGGAACACGGGAAACTGGGGAAGGGGCCACACCTACGTCCCTGTACTACTCGTGTACTCAGGGAGGGTTGGACAAGAAGCTGGGGTTGGCGTGACGGGGGGACTGGAGAAATCTGGGGCAAAAAAAGGGTGAGGACCAACCGCATCAGCACATCGTTACACTCGTTCCGGGGCCCCATTTCGCGATATGTCGGATCGGAGGACGATCGCTGCTCTGTCACTGGTGCCACCAATTGTCCGCCGCCTGACCAAACTGAGCCTGCCTTGGCCCACGCAACCTCTACCGCTCTTTGGCCAGATATCAACGGTTTCCACCTTGCTCTCAATAGTTGGCGGTGATAGTCGTCGCACGGTTCGAGGGCTGAGCATCCAATGACACTCTCCGAGACACGCACTTCTTCAATGCGACTCCAGTGCCGGCACTCTGGCGATCGACACACAAGTCGCCATTCCAGGATCTGATGATGGCTCGTCATCGAGGAACTGACAACGTTCTTTCGTCACGGATTCCTTAGGGCCAAGAGCTGTCAAGCTTGGGCTACTGAACGATAAAGCTTTCGACGATCTGCCAACCATTCATCGCCAACAGTGTCCGGTCGTTTCCTTAATCTTGTTCCATGTCCGACGATTCACACCGCCCGACTTTAGCTCATGAACACTCACCTCTGCGATAGTGTGTTGTAACACGAAAACCGTTGACACCGACTCCCGTTCCACGAATGCGACACTACCGTCGACCGTCCGAAAGGCCAACCATCTCGCATTCTACACTCAAAGTGGTCCTCCGTGATAACCACCTACCGGAGCCCCAAGCCACAATTCTCGACATCCTATCCCGCTCCGCACTCGGGCCAACCGGCTTCGGCTGAACGGCGAACTACTCTACCCCAAATGCTCGCGTGCCCGCCTCCGACATCTTCCCTTCTCCAACTAGGCTGCTCCCTGGCGTCTTCACACAGACTCTCGGTCCACATTCGGAAAGAAGGCGGACATGTCTCGTCAAATGTCCCAAAACAATGCCATCCCAGAGCAATGGTATTTGTGGAAAAGTCAAAACGAGGCCATTATCGGTATCGGGTGATTTAAGACATCCTGTCATGTCAAATAAGTTCGCCTCAGACAATGACAGAGGACAGTCGCAATTGCGCTGCAGCAACAGCTAGTCAGCCAAGTAACGGCACCCCGTACACTACCCCATACCCCGTAGATCAAGGTCAGCTAGCGCAGGCGACCGAGGAGAGGATGACGCTCTCCTCCCGCAATCCTTCGACTCCAGCTCCACCGTTGGAGCGATCCCCACTGGCGCGCGGCAGTATCACCAAGCCCGCCTTCCGCTGACGCGGGGGAGATGCATCTTTCGAAACCCGTCATCCGTTGAGCTGCAAAGTCGGGCACACTAGGAACAGAAAATACCATTTGTGTTGAGACGTCCTATTGCGATGCAAGGCAGACTGCCGCGCTTCAGCGTGGCAGCTCCTTCATGCAAGGACAGGGCGAGACCTATCCACTCCTTCAAGCTGCACAGGGTCCAGGGGTGCACCGCGGATCTCGCCCTCCCACAGCTCAGCTTGGTCGCTGCCCCGCGGCTCCCTGCCTAAAACACGAGTGTTTCTTACTTTGTACAGCGTTCTGGGGAAGGCTTGATTTCAGGCAAAATGCCACCTTCCTCCCATGGACATTGCTCTCGCTGCACGGCATCGCGGGTCGAATATATCCTAAGAGAGGTCCGTTCCGAACGCGGCCAAGCAATGTCGATCTTCCTTTTGAATGTAGGTACGGCCACGAGCTGCCAAGTCTCCGTTCGTGCCTCATTGAGGACATCGGAAGACATTGTTGCACTGAGACATCGCATTTGGGTGTGGCTGCCGACGACGTCGGGTAACGGCACTGTGGCTTGCTGTCATCAGTTGGGCCCTGACATCGCGCGGTTTGTCAAAGAGAAGTCGAGGTAACAGCTTGACGCGGGGTAAATCGGAGATTTGTCCTCGCCATGTCTTTTTCAATCACCTCTCGGGAATGAGATCGGTGTTGGAACTATCCCATGTGCCATGCGCCATGGACGAAAAGATGCCGGAGTGACAGCACAGCAGCATCGTTTCGAACAAGTCTACAGGGGGATCAGGATAAGGCCGTTCGCATTACTCCGTGCCGTCCACGCATATTCTCGCTCTCCAATCGCCTTGCTTCGTAACGGCTTACAATGAGTAAGAAACTACCCCGCGACGATAGGGCCTTACTGACAGAGAATGTTCGCACTTGGGCGATTGAGTGCCGAATGGGATCGACCCGGCCGCATGGCTTCGCCTATCCCTCCCTCTTCAACTGAAGTCCTCCTCGTCATTGGACGCCTCGGCCTCCACTAGTTCGTTTTGGGCAACTTCCATCGATCCGAGATAAGCCACCACGTTTTCGTCTGCGAGAAGTTGTGTTTTCTGCAAGGTTGGGGCAACGAGGCCCATCCCTGTTAGTCTTGGCACCATACAAGCGCGCGGGGGAAGGACAACAAGCACGCAAAAGCAGTTGAGACGGGACTTGGGGAAGATCAAATGCTGGGGCAGCGGCAGCGAATCCCCAGAAGGAATGCAGGAGGCTCAAAAGAGGAATAACGCCTTAGGCGGGGAATGGGCAGAGCATCGTATGTTTACACTGCAGCCCTGACACTGACAGCGACGCCAACGACTGAAGAAACTGCGCGAACCACTCACCTGGTCTTCCAAAGTCTTCATAGCGGCTTCCAGCAGGCTGGTCTCTTGCTCCCTTAACGTGGCAGCGGCGGTGATGCACGCCCCGCAAATGAGACCTCCTTCACTGAGCGATGCGTCAAGGTCGTCCAGGGACATGCCCGTGGCCAGCCGTTCCAGCTGGCCGGCGACGAGATCCTGCAAGACGGTAACCACTCTCAGACGAAAGATCTGAGCGAGGGGATGACCGTCAATGTGCTGTTCGAAAGACGTCGTCGTGTCGGTCACGTCCTCCTCCTGCCAAAAGACTTTTAGCTCCCGTGATCCCCCGGTGTCCTGCAGCACGCGAAAGTCAAGGCCGTCTTCCTCGTTCAGACACAGGAAGTAGGCGAAAGGGCTCTTCCAGCTGAGCGTCCCATTCGTCCGGTCAAACTCCACACTCGGGGCGCCGCCAAAGATGTGCAGCTTCGCCTTGCCCAGCGGGTCGTCTTCGAGAGGCGCCAGGGGCAGCGTGATGCGGTCGGCGGCAGACGCGGGGTCGATGAACCCATAGCTGAAGAGCATCTCTGCCCCGGATTTCGCGTCACCGTACGAGATTGTCATCTCATCCCCAGACAAGACCCTGCATCCCGGTCGCAGGAGCAGCACCACCTCGTCCTTGCTGTTTTCTTCGTAGTACGCGTTGGCCTGGGCTGAGTGGTTCGCCAGGTCCAGCACCGGGACCATGGCCTCGCCTGACTTGGGAAGCTCCAGGCAACGGGAGCGGAACCAGGCGTCGACACGGGCCCAATCGATGAGTGATACCTTGTCGGATTCCCAGAAGAATTCGTTCCAGAATGGGAGGGCTTCTGAGGTTTCGCGGAGCTCGTCGAATTCGTCGGTCAGAGTGACGATCTTGGCGGCGGTGGCCGACTGGCTGCTTGTCAGAACGTGATCCTTGTATCCCTCAAGTATGCCTAGTCTTCTTCAGCCGCAAGCTTCTTGGCTTGCTGACCGGAACGTTGAGGGAGCATGCGTTTGTGTATGTGCATGCGTGGCCAGTTACTGTGTAGGACATGACATGGTGTGATGCTCGTGAAGAGCGAGTGTCCAAGATTGGAAAACCTCATGAGCTTACCTCAAGTGATGTTCCAACCAACATTTCACGTTCCTGCTCAGTCCAGAGCGTCGTAACTGGCACCTGCGGGGGCAGAAACTTCACATACTCCGTCCACGGCGTCGACACGCCACCTTTCATAGTCGTCTTGGGCCTATCCGACAGTACCATCTGCGTCAAGAGAAACAAACAAATATCATGCCGTGTAGACTTTTCCCCTCTCAAGCACGTCAGCAACACTGATTCTCATCTTATTCATCGTGAGATGTGAGGTCTGCGCGCCCTAACCTTGTGCCCGCACGCATCAAGCAGCTGGCGGAAGTTCTTGTCCACCTTGGCGTAGCTCTCGACGGCCTCGGCGGAGAGCACCAGCTCGTGCGGTATCCTGAGCAGCGTCGGGATGTCGAACGTCTCCTCCTCGCGACTGAGCTCCTTGTTCACGAGAAGCCCGAGCCCGCAGCCGGGGATCTCGCGCGCCTCGACGTCGACGAGGTCGACGTCGTTGAACATGGCCCAGGTGGGCAGGGTCTCGACGGGGAGTTTTGAGGTTGCCATTTGTCCCTTTTGTTGGATGGATTCGGTTAGTGGAATGTGAGATGGATCCTCTCGGCTTTCAATGTCCGAGGTTTGGATTGGTGTTGAGGCGGGTGCCGTTTACCGGGCGGCGGCCGTGTTTTTTGATGAGGACCTGGGAGGGATGGTGGGCTTGCGGGCCGAAGATTCGGAGTCCGGCAGCGGCGGGGGAGGTTTTCAGTGTGCGTCTACGGGCGGTGGATCAGACACCTTGGGGTGGTAATCCGGGAATGAGCGCGGAACCTCTGACAGATGGTGCACTTTGGGCTTCCCGAGAGAACTTTTTGGTTCGATTGACTTGAGATGCAGTGGTTTAGTTGAGAGATGAGCTGTGTTTTCCTGGCAGAATGGATGAGGCAATTCTTCGTTGGCGTCCGTCCTTGTGTGGAACGGCCCTGGAAGAAGGAAGGATCCTGACGTTTCCAAGCTGGCTTCTGGGCCGCCGCACCGTCCAATTTTCTCGACCAGTAAACCCGGGTTGTGCGCAGTGTCGATGTTCATGCTGTTGCTAGCGTGCTATGCGTTGGAGAAACAGGAAAATATCCAAGACTTTTTGACTGGGTATTGATGTCGAAGTTGGACGAGGCAAAGGAGTGAGTGCATCGTTGGTTTTAGCAGGTATTCGCGTTTGCCACGCGGGAGATTGCTGCTACGAGAACTGCAAACAAGCGAGAAACCATCTAATTCTTCGTTTGTTCCTTGACATGACCAGGTTCAAGAGACATATGAAGCCTTGCCTGCACCTATTTTTGTGTGTTCATTTTGCCGGATTTCGTTCGACTGCGTCTTCAACGTCGAAATTCCGTCTCATATGAACCCCGTTACGAGCCACCACGCTCTCCCGTCGCCAATCGCCACCACAACCAAAACCATCAGCTTTCCTCCCTTCGTCTTAACTTTCTTGCGTTCTTCACCCGTTCGACTACCCGTTCGTCTTACTTACCCTTCAACTGGCCCCGACCGTATGTCACTCAACACCGGCCACAGCTCATCCTCTCCCACCGGTAGGTGTGGTGAGTGCGACGACCCCACCGCAACCTCTGCCCCGGCCAGCCAGCCCCGCTGACCTACATCAGTAAGCTTGTCAGCCGAAGTTTCCATCGTTGGGCGTGTAGCTCAGTGGTAGAGCGTCCGCTTTGCATCTTCATTGCAACTTCGTCTGCGGAAGGTCCAGGTTTCGATCACCTGCCCGTCCATTTCTTTTGCCATTTTGACGCATTTTTCGTTTTTGTTGCATCTTCAGGCTTGATTTAAATTGCTTAGGAACGAATGACAATTCCATTTCTTTTGGCGAGTAGGGTGCGTCTTTAATCGTTTTGTCCCGCCATTGCGGATCATCTCGAACTTGATGGTATGCGACTGGATGCGACAACCCATGACAAACTTTTGTATGGGATCTCGAACCAAGATCAAGACTTTTGTACTCTTTATTTTTTTATTTTTTTATTTTGTTTTGACGTGGAATATGGCATAGCCTACTCCGTCCCGCAGATCTCCTCAAGACGATCTTTGAATAGAGCAACAATGCAAGCAGATGTGCCCGAGACTGCGTCTAACATTTGACAACGTCAGCTGACGGTATCGCTCCCTCCATCAGCTATGAAAGGCCCAAATTGGCACCACGGATGCCATCAGGGCGGGTTTGGTTTGCTGTGAAATCCCTCCACTCGGTTACAGTTAGTTCGGAGGCTATGGTCGTGGCTGATGCTGAGGAGGTGTGGCAAGCTTGAGGAGGTAGGAAGGCTCGGATTTCGCATCGGTCTTGTAGACTCATGGGCCAATGAAAACATCAAAATCTGGTCGGCACCTACTCGATTTATTGCGGCAGCCGCCATCGCTCCGACTCGAATCAGGAAGGAATCGTCAATCGACGAGAGTGATTGTTGCTTTCCTTGATGACAACTGCGACAGTTCATTTACGATGGAAGGATGCATGTTCAGGGTGCTAGTAGGTGACTTTTGTTGGCACAAAGGACACCAGAAAGTTGAGAACCTCAGTGTTGCCCATCCCAATTGCTCAATCGAAGACGATAGCAACACCGTGAGCCGAGACAACGGCGACGACGACAACAGTAGCAATTACACAGGAAAAGCAGTCGCTCCAACACAACGAAAAATAGGGGGTTTCCCAACATGGGGCCCGTTGCAGCAGAAACGATACTGGGAGCCATGGAATTCTTGGTAGCTACGAGCAAGACTTCGGGCTGCGACCCCTTCGCCCAGCTTGACAATACTTCGCGGCTTGTAAAGATTAAGGGGTCGGGCAAGGACAATCAGCCAAACGGCACCCAGCATGACTGGTAGAAAGTTGGAGGCAGTAAGACCTGGGTCCAGATATTTGTAACGGGCGTGAGAGAGGCAGGTCCAAGGAGGGCTGATCACCACAAGAGGGAACCGACTACATGTGCCTGCCACACTGAAAGCCAACGCTCTTGCTGTTGACTCTTCAGCCAGTCCAGCAGCTTGGCAGACTTCCTCGACCAAGACCACACATCTTCAGTCCATCCGACTTCCATCACATTACACGTCCATCAACAAGAACTACCTCTTCTTTTGCTTCTTGGATCCAGCAGAGATTGACTTCTTCACATCATACCGGCAAACATTTCCAACACTATTCGAAATACAGATAACTTGACGATCAACATGCAGACACTCGCCAGCGACCTGGAGTACGTCCTCCTCAATAAACTCGTGCCCTTCGAAGTAGACGAGGTATGGAGCATCGACGAGCATACTTGATGACATGACTGACACATAGTAGGACGAGCTTCATGCACTCGTCGATGATACAGTCGTTCACGTAAACAAACTATTGGTAAGCAATCGGCTTCTACGTTCTTTCTCCGACCCCTTTGGTTATACTGTCATCACCGTCGTTCGTCTACCTGGCCGTTGCCCTTCGCGAAAGACAGGACTGGCCGAAGTTTCTCATCATTAGAGGGCTTCCACATGTTTCTCTGCACCTACAAGTCCATGCGCATCACCCCCTTCCCCTCGCTGTCATCACTCTCGTCTCTGTCGTCTCGCCCGACCTAGCTCTGTGTATACTGACTCCCGAATGCAGTCTTGTTGCAAGACAGGGTCTCACGACGAGGCGAAAGCCTACGTGGATAATTTCTGCGATGAAATAGCCAGTGATTGGGACATGTGTCTGATGTCTGAAGAACCCATTGATAGATTGTGGCAAGCTGTGATCGAATCGATCATCAATTGGCTTTCTGAAGACGTTGATCTCAATACGTATAACGATACCAACCGGCGATATCTCGGGAACAGCATCATCGTACTGGTGGGTATGGTGTATGCCGACGCTTCTTACTACCGTCCTGGCCTTTCCACTTTCAAGACGGGGATAGCGCATGCCGACGCTTCTACCTCCCGTGCTGGCCCTTCCACTTCCGAGGCACCCGTACAAGACGCCGTATCAGACACCTCAGACGATGCAGACGTATTATCTTCGACTCATTCTAACTCTTCCGGGGCTCATTCTGACTGCACCGAGGACAATAAGGGCAAGTCGCGCCGTACCGCTGACTACAAGGGCAAGCCGCGTTGGCTCTCTGGCAATGACAAAGAAAATGACGGTCAGACTACTCCTCAGAAGCGCAAGGCTGACGAGGTCTTCGACACGAACGACGACAAGATCGTCGGTTCTCCACGCAAGAAATCTTGGGAGCAGGACAGCATCGCTGAAACTGGATTCCTCGGCACTGCGGACGAGCCTGGACCTGATAAGGAGGCTGGCGAAGAAATGGACATGGACAAGGCAAAAAACTTTCCGTAGACTCAAACCGGTGAGTATACTTACTGAGAGACGTCGTACAGTCACGCCCGCGACAAACCAGCATGCCTGAGTTGGATCAGAACATGGACTTCAAGTACGAGAAGCCAGAGATGGACGACGAGGAACAGGATGATTTGAAGACAGGTAAGACGCAGCTCACAATGTAGAGAAAGACACAGGTATTGACAAGACCACGCAGACAGACGCGGAGCAAGAGCTCTATCAAGCGCGGATGCTCAAATGACGAGGGACCCCTTTCGATTGCGAGTTCTGCGAGGTCAATCCCCCATGGAAAAGCCTGGCCGTACAATGGGACCCGATGAAGCAGACTAGGATGGAGACGTCGAATCCTCCAACTCAGATGGCGGAATTACGAATAGTGTGTGTTTTTTGGTGCCTGGAGTTTCTTTTGTTGCGGTCAGTCGGTTGGCGGGAGAAAAACATGATGTGATAGCATTGAAATTAGAATGGATTCGCGTCAACAACCTGATTATTCCTCATATTGCGAGCTTTACTTGTGAAGATCTGCAACGAGGATTATACTGGTGAATCCGCGGTAAATCCGGCAACTCAACGGAATGAGGCATCGCAGCACTGGCAATTGGCACAGCCCGAGATGCTGGCTACATACTCAACGTGCAGAGCGAAAGGGAGGCGAGACGGGACTCAGTATGGACGCGGACCATGTCGGAAGGACAGTCAGCAATTATCGGGGCAGCCCCTCATTGCATTAGCGGGACGAAGCCGACCAGGGTGGGCCGCGCCCTTCGCAAAATCGCTACCCCTCGAACGATTCTCGAAGTTCACCACGACAGCACCACAAGCCCAAACCGACACAATGCCTCGAGATCCGCTGATCGGCCTGGTTGGCAAGCCGTCGGCAGGCAAGAGCACAACGCTCAACAGTCTCACAGACGCCTCATCAAAAGTTGGTCCGTAGCCCTTACCAAAAGCCCGCTCGACCGAGAAAAACCGACCACCCCACCATGCGACCTGGCCGCTGATGGAATTTTGTGAACAGGAAACTTCCCGTACGAGCCCTGCTTCTCCTCTGTTTCTTTCAGCAAAACCTCTGCCGTTTTCATGCCGGTCGTTCATCACTCACCCGAACCTCCAGATTCACGACGATCGATCCCCAACGAGCCATCGGATATCTCCAAATAGACTGCGCCTGCGCCCGCCACAATGTTTCGGACCGCTGCAAGCCCAACTACGGCGCCTGTGTCGACGGCCGTCGCTCCGTGCCGATTGAGCTCCTCGACGTTGCGGGCCTCGTGCCCGGCGCCCACCAGGGCAAAGGCCTCGGCAACAAGTTCCTCGACGACCTGCGCCACGCCGATGCGCTGATACACGTCGTCGACGCCTCGGGCACCGTGGATGCCGAGGGCAAGGAGACGCGCGGGTACGACCCGTCGGTGGACATTGCCTGGCTGCGCGGCGAGATTGTGGCCTGGATCAAGGGCAACCTGATGGAGAAGTGGGGGAGCATTAGACGGCGTCACATGGCGATCAAGGCGACGGCGATCGAGACGCTGCAGGGCCAGTTCTCGGGATACGGCAGCACGGCCAACGTGGTCGCGCGCGCGCTGGACCGGTTGGGAATCAAGGAGCCGCTCGAGGACTGGGACGAGGCGACGATCGACCGGGTGGTCAACGCCTTCACGGACGAGAAGTTCCCGACCGTCATCGCGCTCAATAAGATCGACCACCCCGACGCGGACAAGAACATTGCGAAGATTGCAAAGATGCAGGACCCCAACACGATCGTGCTGTGCTCGGCCATCTCGGAGATCTTCCTGCGCAAGATGGCGAAGCAGGGGTACATCAAGTACACGGAGGGCAGCGAGTTCGTGGACACGCGCGAGGACCTGATCGAGCAGGGCGACCCGACGGGCGGCGGGCTCAAGGAGCTGGACGAGAAGAACCGCAACCGGATAGAGAACCTCAAGGACATGGTGCTGTACCGGTTCGGGTCGACGGGAGTGGTGCAGGTGCTTAGCAAGGCGGCGGAGATCCTGGGGCTGGTGCCGGTGTTTCCCGTGCGTAACACGACGACGTTCCAGTCTGGCGCGAACGAGAGCAGGGTCGTGTTCAGGGACTGCGTGCTGGTCAAGAAGGGCACGACGGTGGGGGAGGCGGCGAGGAAGGTTATGGGGGATGCGCCGATTGCGTATATCGAGGGTGCTGGGGGTTTGAGGGTCGCCGAGGACGACCCTGTTGCGGTTGGGAAGAACGATGTAAGTGTTTGCCTATCATCATGCTTCCCTGATCAAGAATTTGTTGCTAACACCTCACAGATTCTGTCGTTCAAGGTCGGAAGAGGTTGAGTGCAATGCGCCTAGGCAATTCCACGCGCGGATGTCTGCCTCCGTTTACCTGCCAGCCAGCCGATAGTGATCAGAATCTCGCACCGCTCCCCGCTCCCCCTCCAGCTCCTTGATATCCGAAGATGTGGAACCATGGAGCACACCCCGTGACACTCACGCATACATGGTAGACATCACACACATTCCGTGAGGAGAAAACCATCCCCGGAGCAAACGGGAGGGCGTTCATCGCAACGATTCAAATGAAGAAAATGTGACATGGAGTTGGCAGGCGGGTACGCCGGAACCCTTAGCCCAGCGAGGCGGGATGCAGGGGATCACCAGGCCCCCCCCCCCCCCCCCCCCCCCCCCCTTGGCGCGGACAGGGGTATATGGGAAGGCCGAAATCGAAAGGGTCTGTGAGCGCTTTGGGGGCCAGCAGCGTGCCACTCGAAACAATTGTTTAAAAATAAAGGGCAGACATACTATGCAGTATCTCGACCAGAAATGAAGAATGAAATAAGGCCGGGTGGGATATCAAAGCTCAGCTCCATACTCGCCGAGTCATTGCGGCTAAGGCGGTGGATCGTCGTTGGTGTCTTCTTTCTTGTTCCTGTCCTCGCATTCGCGCAAAGAACCTGGGAAAATGGTGATCTATCCGGTAGGCGCTCACCGCACTCGGTCCGTTTTTCCAGCGCCCTCGAACAGGCCGCAGCCCAGCTCAACGGTCTGCGTGCAATTAAACACAGCCCTCGCGGACAGGGATCGCAGTTTATCTGATTCTGGCGGCCGACGGCAGTCAGTCAGTCAGCCAGTCCAGCGGCAGGCGACGACGGACGACAGGCTTCAGGGCACATTCAATCTGCCTTAGCGCCTCGAGGCCCGGCAAGGCCAGCCTCAACAGTGCAACGCTTTCGGCTTCGCGCCGAGTGTGTGCACAGCTGCACCGCAAAAGGCAGTGTGGGACCGACGCTGCGCCGAGTATTTTGCGTGACGCGTCCCTCGGCTTCCGTTGGTTGATCCGTCGCGGTGAAGAGCAAACCGCTCCGGGGTCATTTGGAGGTTCTGGCGTCTCCATTATTGTGGCTGGGCTCCGTCGTTCAGGATACGCGGGAAACAAGGTTATTTTTTTGCGACCATGGCTGCCATGGCATGGCTGGCTATGCAATAACTGCTTGAGCGTTTTTGTTGCACGTGAAATAAGCTCTTGGACGGTGTTTCCAAAGTCTGTATGCTTAGGTGGGTTGGCGGGATCTAGAACGTTTCCGGGCGAGAGTTCAGCGTTTCAATGCAAATGAGGCATGACATCACTGTAGGGAGCTGCGGCAGTGTCGCTGTCACTGCTAGCGGGGGAGAATCACAACCGCTGTCATGCGGCACAGCCGGATTATGAAGCAACCAGATGCGGCTGCGTCTGACAACACATCACACATGCATAATAAGAAAATGAGTCTTTGCGAAAGGAGAAATCTTTGATTGAAGAGATTGATGTCGGGTATCGAATTAAGCATCAAGTGTACACAGTCCAAAGTCTCCCTGATCCAATTCTTGCAAGCGTGCCGCAAGAACATAAGAGCCGATGAGAACCAGTCCCTGATGAAAATAACCGCCTCCAACAGAGGAAAAGAGGCCGTTGCTGTGTCGTGGTCGTAAAATAACAAAAAGCGGTAGGGGGTCTTAGGCCACCCTGCACTGGAAAGCAGAATCCCTGCCGTCCGGTGCAGGAGGATCCCCCAAGGTTGCCGGATGAGACGGAAGCTGAGGTCGCTGGAATGCCCGGCCACCGCCTACACCACCACCCTCCTGTCAAACGATTGGGTCTCGCATGTCGAAGGGCTGAGGTCATGCCGCTGTCGCTTGCTTGAAGTCGTCATAGCGCTCATTGATGTAGGTGGTTCGAGGTCGGGACGACCTCAGCGTCGGGACGCTTAGTACTTCAGGATGATGTACAGAGCGTGGATGATACCGGGCAAGTAACCTGAGTATGTTAGTGAATGCTGTAAGTAATGGCGATGAGTGTCGGAGCTTACCAAGGATGGTCAACAGGATGTTGATGAAGAAGTCAGCACCGCAGCCGCGCTCGAGGAAAACACCAACGGGCGGGAGGATAATGGCAAGAAGGATCTTGCAGATATCGGAAGCGGTGAAAGGCATGGTGATTGATGTGTTGTGGTGATGAAGTGTTTGTTTGTGTGAGTCTGATAGTTCGCGACGGGATCTCGAAGATCTAATGTAAGGTCGAGTGTAGGTTCGTTGGTTGAGAATGTCAAGAGGGGAAAGGAAGGGTGGGATGGGGACGAGATGCTTAAATAGAGGAATGGTACTGGGCAATCCTCCAAGACTCAACGAGGGAAAAAAACAAAAGAATGGCCCCAGCAAGTAAGGTAGGCGCAATGGACAAGGTCACGGTCACCAGTCGAGCTCACAGTGATGTGATGTGGACTTGCAGGGGCCGCCCCCTTCCCGCCATCAGTACATCTCTTCCTTACCTCACTGCGGACCTTACGTCTGACAAGGGACAAGCCAGTCGCAGGTGCCAGGCCATTGAGGTCCGGAAGCACCCAAGCACCAAGCATCACCCAAGCGCAAGCTCCCACTAAGCCGCAGCAGCTGTACTGTTCGTGCCGGGGAATAGGCTTGGGGTGAAATGAGAAGGGACATGCGTCATCGACTGATTCCCGGTTTGCTGCGGCA